AAAAAACAAAATAATCCTTCTCCCTGCTAGCAGCGTAAGTGCTTTCCTAACAGTATCCAGCTTTTACTTACGTTATAAAAGAGAGGCTTCACCCTCTTTAGTTAAATTATACATTATCCCTTTTTGGAGGCAGCTATCTTAGTATTTAACCTTTTCATGACTAAGGTTATTTTTTAGGCCTCTCTTACAGGAGTTATGGATGAAAGACTTCCAACAATGGTCTATACATGTTCTGCTTAGGATAGTAGTAGTATATTGCAGAGTGTTTTCCATCTGAATGTACCATTGTTATGAAGGCTTTGTGGATATTTGATGACATGGTTAAGAAACAAAAAAGCAAACCGAAACCACACTTTTCTATACGTATAATATAAATGTTTGGGACAGCTGAAGTTTATCAAATTAATCACATCCCCTAGAGAAAGTAGTAGAGTTTAACTGCCAATATCCAAACTAGAACATTTGACAGGTAGACTGTGATTTGTAAAAATGTATTGATAAAACCTTATGAAAAGTTGGTCACAGGACTGCAGTTATGCCACAGATGACAAAAAAGCACAAGCTCAACACCATAAAGAGAAATCTGTAACATGCAAATCCTGCCACTTGGCAGAGGAGTGCCTTTTTATTTTATTTTATTTTTTAATTTATTTTAAGTTACCTTCAGGCAAAAGCAAAGAGGATTTGCCGACATGCAGAGGTTTCTTTAGCAGGAGCACTTTTGGACCTCCTCAGAGCAACATCATCCCATGGACAGAGACAAGTAGGGTTTTTTTTCCCCCAGTCATCCCTAGGTTGGACTTTGCTAGGCACTAATGGAGGTATTTGGAAGACCAAATACCCTATAGGATGTTTATTGCTTGGAAAAAAGAATGAGATCATCCAGAACCAGAGAACTTGTCATGGAAAGCAGAGCTACAGTTTTGCTAGCAGAGCCTGCTGTAGGTGTGCTTTTCAGCTTGGAGCAGTGCCGCCGCCTGACACGCTAACCAGTTAATTCCAGTCATTTATCTGGATCCATCCCACAGGCATGTGTTAAGCCATGGCCACGCAGCACCAGGGATGAAACCCTAAAGACCCCTTCACTAACGAGAGTCTTTCTCAGCCCCTGGTGAAGCGGCTCTTTTCCTCTGCGGGCGGGTCACTAAAAGGCAGCCGAACACACATAGAGCATTCATAAGACAAGGGCAGCTTCTCCCTTAAGGACAGTTTCCTTCAGTTAGCGATACAGTGTCTAGGCAAGAAAACATCCCAAGTCTGGACAATCTACCCATTAAGGTTTACATTTAAAGTGCCAAACTTCAGGTTGCATTCACAGCAGCATCTCCAAATTGCTAGTATCCTTAAAGAAAGAGCGTTTCTGCAGTTCCTGCCTTCCCAAAAGCAGGAGACACACTTGCTAGGCACACCAAAGTTGTAGCATGTCTTTACAAAAAAGATCCCAAGCATGCTTCATTACAGACAGCAGCAAAAATATGGTCACAATTTGCCCTTCAGAAAACTACCAGGCATTACTTGACCTCCAGAAAGCATTACATTGTCCTCGAGATTTTGATCCTCACAGGTACTTTGGTGGCCAACTCTTATTTAACCTCTAACTGTGAGCATCTGGACCAATCTTTTTAAAAAGACAAAATACCCTGCAGAACAGAGGAGCTGTTAAAGGACAGTATGGGGAAGAGCATAGAAATTACATTGTTGTATATATAAATTCATCCATGTGTTTATGATCCATGTTCTTTTACTCAAATTTTTTCCTGCCTTCATTTCCTCCTCTGCTTTCTAACTGCAGAAAATAAAATAGTACAAGTCCTTGCTTTCATTACATGCTACACCTGCTGCCTGTCCTGAAACAGATGTCTGGAGCATCATTAGCCAATTATTTCTTAGCTTTTGTCAATGGGACTGATTTCAAACATCTTTTTGCTAAATCCTCCTCTTTCTGCTTCCTCTGTACTTCTCATCCTTTCCTACATTCAGAGTTCCAACAAAAACTCCTCTCTGTATCAGTTTGTTCCTGTTATGTTTGTCCTGGATCACTGAACTCACAGAAGAACAAAGAAAGAGACTATAACTACTTTGAAGCAGGAATTAAGTTTAAGAGACATTATGGGGGGGAAAAAAGACAAGGTGAGGGAAGAAAACAATACGAATATTAGTCAGCAGTGGAGGCAGTAGTTTCACAACACCAGCTGGCTTTTTATGGTTCAGGGTTTTGTGGACGTTACAGCGAAGGAGTGTTTTCCATGCATGCAAGGACAACTCCCACGCTCTCCACGTGAATGACAATTTTGGCAAAAGGAGAAAAGCCTGATTCCCAGCACCCTTTTTGTTTCCCTACCACCTTGCATACCTGGCCAAGAAAAGCACACTTTAGAAGCAAGCAGGCCTGCAGGGCTTGGATGACTCCATTGTTGGGGGAGGCACTTGAGGGAAATGATTCCTCCCTCTTATTTCCAAATATCACCTTAATATTTGGAAGATGTCTCCACCATGGGAGGAACTGTGAACTTCCCAGGCCAGCAACAGACTTCAGCACATGCTTGAGCAGGGGGGTTGGACTAGACGATCTCCAGAGGTCCCTTCCAACCTTGGCCATTCTGTGATTCTATACTTCCTTTAATCACACTGGCTGTTACCAGGGACATATATTTGTGGGTTATCTTACCTTGTCCACAGCAGAGGTGGGAAGACTTTCCTTTCCGCTTTACTTTTATCATGGGGCAATTAAAAACAACAACAACAAAAAACAAAAAACCCAAAGAACTGTATGTCTCTGTCTAAATATTCTGTGCAGCCAGTGGCTTAGCTCCAGCCATTGTCCAGTTTTCAAGCAAGGAAAGGAGATGCTCTGGCCCGTAAATGCTAGCAGATCCACAGCTTGCTCATCCTCAGCTAGGCTGGCAGAGAGCTCCAGTTCTAGCTGGTAGGAAAGGAGTGTTCATTCTTCCAATCAATAACAAAAAGCAAGCTGAAACAAGAGCTCTAGGACATGTTGTGCCAGGTTAACTGGCACCATGCTGTTCAGTGGTTCAGCATTTGCTGAAATTTGTTCCTTTAGGTTATTTCTTTCACTAGTAAATTCCTGGCTGTATTATATTCAGGCAATCTCGTTAATCTGGGCTGGTTTCAACTTGTAAACTACTGACTAGATTATTACAGTCCCCACTGCACATCTAAAAGATATTATTGGAGAAGGGTTGGCATCCCTAACAATCAGTTTGTCAACTCTGTACCCTGATGTAGATGCTACACCTTTACCAGATTTTACCAGTTTGATTCGCAGCTCCCCCTCATCCATGTCTGCTTTGGGGTGAACTCTAGTAGGAAACTTCAGCAAAAACAGTCCAGTTGTTTCTCAAAACAGCACTGCAGAAGTAGTAGTTCTTAAGCAATAAAAGTTACAAAAGCAGGTTTCTTGGGGCTGTCTCGTGCATGGTTTTTCTATTGGTATATGATTGAGTTTCTTCTTCTTTCCCTTCAGCATGGGCACTAATTTGGGCCACCCTCATATGCCAGCGCATCTATTCTCTGGAAGCGTGTAGGGCCGTAATATCTCAGGCTTCTCAGCCACTCGTAACACAACTGGTCAACAGATTACAAAGTCACCCGCCATGGTGGGATGGAGAAGGCTGACAAACGCCCAGACACAGAGTACAATCACATCAACGTAATTTTCTTAGAAAAAATCAGGCTGAAGGTAGACACATTAACTAGTAGACAAACAAACTAAAAGTCCACACCAACCACCAACTTCCCTGATCCCGTCTGTGATAAAATCTGAGCGAGGATATGAAAGCGGCAGGAAGAGGCAGATGGCTTCTGTTAAGGGTGTGGCTTGTGCTTGCTCAGGTTTTGGCAAGATACAAGTATTTGAATTTTTAATTTTAAGTATTTCACACTTGGACACCTGCTAGAAACCTGCACCTAGAAGTCTCTGAGGGTGCTCTGGGGTCCTAGGGAGCAAGGGTGTGGGAGAAGTGTTGTTTTCCTTGAAACTGCAGCTCTTTCCTGCTGCAAACTACATGGTAAGGAGGGCTCTGGACCAAAGAGGATGACATCTGCCTCTCCCAGAGCCCAGACAAGGAGCAAAGCGCTACCTGCTGGAAGCTGAACAGACTACGAACAATGCCAGGTCAGCTAAGCAAGAGTCATAAATAGAAATAAAGAGCAGGGACAAGACAGTATCAGAGGCTGGAAAGGATGTTTGAGCTAAGAAAGAGAAATGGAGCAAAGTAGAGAGGGTGGAGGTTTGACCAGAATCTGTGGTACAGGGATGTGCCATGAGACTGACTAAAATGAAGGGTCTGAAAAATGACAATTGCAGGGGAGAGAGTGTAGAGCAGAAAGAGGTGAAAGAAAATGGTGGGGAAAGACTCTGTGCCTGACAGGGCATAACTCTGGGAATGAAATCCAAGATTCCCCACTCACCATTTCCCTGCTGCCAACAAACATCCACAAAAATGTTTCTGTAATGCCAGGGCTCCTAGAGGATGGCAACCAATTACTGTTAGAACTATTCCTTTATCTCATGTGGCTGAACTTTTATTTGCCCACTAGCCTCCAGGGTTGGGGAGGGAGGGTGGAGACCTGACTGAAAGACAATAAAGAAGAAAGGAGCACCACACTGAAAAGGAAGTTTCAAAATTCAGGTTGCCCCTGAGATCTGAACTTGCTCCCTTTCCATTTAGAGCTAAGCATAAAGATACAACCTTTGCGAGGCATATCTTTTCCCCACAGGACTGCTTTCTCCCAAAGTAAACTAAACAGCACTTCTTTAACAAGCAGGTTTCCAATACCTTGTCTCATAATTATTCATGTGGCTCCATGCCTTACAGGCTACTCATTGATGAATTCCCATTCTAAATAATAAATTAGCAGCTTCTTCTATTTATGGTGTTCAGCTTTGTAATAAACAAGCACGAATAGCTCCGCAAAAGGGACAGCTTAAGATCACATAGCCAAACTTAAACTTTTTTCATTTATTAGCTTAACACAAAAACTTCATTTTTCAGGTAGTTAGTGTAATATACATTACCTCAAGGATACAAACTTACAATCCAAAGATTTGAGAACACAAACACTCAGAAATCGTTGATCTGGATTTCTATTTTTAAGAAATCATTACTTGTATTAGAGGATTTGTATTATTTATATTATTTTTCCTGGCCTCAGGAAAAATATTTGGTACAAATACAGACCAGGAGACCATCATTGCCTCGAAGAACTTGGAGTCCAAAACAAGTAGACAGGCAAAGCAATATGGATAGAAAGAAGGGCACAGAAAGATAAAGTGAAAGCAGAGAAAGATACCAAAAGAAGCAGAACTACATCCCGCTGCAGCATCTATCCGTTCAGCTGTTCCCACACAACCCCAGAGTTCTTCTCTAACACCTCCCACGGACAGATCTCAGGAGCTTTTAATGATAAATGTTAACAAAAAATGGGAGTTACACCCTATAGCATAAGGAACTGCATAATCCTCAATTTATAAAACAGGGAAACTGAGGCATGAAGCAGCCTCCTCTCTTCCCCCACTTGAGCACAGTGAGGGGACTGAGGGTGGAGTTGTTCTTCCCTTTGTTTCATTTCCAGAAAAGCAATCACCTTACGTTTTGCTAAAACAGAATATTAAGATCCTTCCGTAATTTTTATTCTCGGTCACTGCATTTCTATGAAAACATATCTTTTTAAGAAAACGTAAAAATGCGGACTGCTTTAAAAACTCCATTTACTTACCTGCCTTTTACTGTCATAACTGTTTCTATGGGAACCAGAACTGGCCATATAGCAGCCCTACAACATGAATTCTCACTTGTCAATTTTACACTAAAGTGCCACTTTCAAAGTTCTTTAATAAACCAGCAATGATTGTGTTGCTGTAAGAGTTTTTAAATTAAGCAAAACAAGAATGCGTGCTTTCACTAAATGCCCCACACAATATTTTGTAGGTGTGGTCTCCGTCTAAGAATTTTAACAGTGTGCATGATATGACTCTTTTGGTTAAGGATATGATCTTTAAACAGAGAGACAGTTTATTAGCAGTAAAAGCCCTAGTGTGTGTAGTTAGACTTACATAAAGGTGACTTATACCAACATGGGTATGTCTAGACTGCTGTCACAGAAGCACACTGTAGAGATACTGAGTAAATGGGTAAATCAAGCTACTTACTGTGCTCTGTGCTCTCACAGCTAGCTCTAGGGTACTTCTGTACAGGCATATGGTTTTCCCTGTAGGTACGAGAAGGGGAATGCACCAGACCAGGGCAAGTGTTAGTCTGTGCTGGGTGGCAACTGTGGAAAAAAGCATGCACGTTTCAGGCATAACTATTCCATACTGTTACTCAGAATTAAAATTAGCGTAGCTTGAATCTAGGCTCCTCCATTAATTTCAACCTTTCGCACACACAAAAACTGTAGGTTCCCTTGTATTCATTAATATTGTTTCCCTAAAATAACTCAAGGGAGAAAAATCTTGTCGGGCTCCTGGGGAACAATGTCCAACAGAACACACCCTCCATCACAAGACCCTCGCATTGCCAGCACGGACCAGCTTAAACAACTTCCAAGGACAGATTCTTTCCAGAGTGATTTATCTTTCTTTCCTGAGAAGACATCCTCTCGCCTCATCTCTGGGGCTTTTCAGTTGATCAGGACTTTTAAATTGCAACAGAAGTAGGGAACCATTACAGAGACACAGGCACACATTGTGTCTTTGCACCAACCTCCAGCGTGTAGAAAATAGGTAGCCAGGAGTTTTAGACACACTTTACACATAGATCTACAAAGCAGAAAGTGCAGAGTTTAAGTTGGAGGCAACAGAACACATCAGATGCTTCACGCATAACTATACGAGCTGCAAGGGACCAAGATGTAATCTTATTTTGGTATGATTTTGGTATAATTTATTTTCAAGAGACCCCGAAGAGCAATACAATCTCCAGGCTATCTTCCCCTCCAAGATTCAGCTGCACAGAGTTCCTCCCAAAAACTCACCCAGCCCACACACTTGGCTGCTACCCCCAGGAGAACCAGGGCCTTCCTCTTTTCTAAGCTAAGAGAGGAGGAGATCACCTTTCTCAGGGAGCTGGCAGTATTAAACCTTTCCCTGTAAAATCAACTTCTGCTAATAGAGCAGGACCTTTCAAGAAAACAGCCAGGTCCATCTCTTAAGTTAGACATAGTCAGATACCGGCACATCCTGCTCATCTCTACTGTTCAAGACACCTCATACTTTCTCCTTAGACTATCCCCAAACTTATGTCCTGTAGGCCACTTGTCCATAACTGAGTGGTAACACATGGTTAACTCCTGGAATGAGTCTGAACCGTAAAAGGGGAATCGATATCCCAAACTTCTCCCATGGGCAGCCTTTGTTTTAAAGCATCCTTTCCACCTGATCAGAATCAGAGCAGGAATCTGAAAGGAAATCTCCGTTGTGGCACTACGACTAGCCAGACCTTTTTGCAGGGGTAACTTATAGTTCCCCACCTCACTACCACTTCTCTCGGAACACGGGCTTCTCTCCCTGCTTTTCAGAGACATTCACAGAAAGAGAGTCTTCTACGATGCTTTCTTAATCCCTATCTCCTCTGACTATAGAGGAATAGATGGTACCTAACTCCAAACACAGCAGTAATGCTAGAAATAGTGGCAGTCCGCAGGGAAACCAACCTGAGCCCTGCAGCAAGTAGAGAAATTAAAGGGAAGTAATGACTTATACATAGTTTTTACACTATGGACAAATGCACCGTCTCTTTAAGACTGAAGTTTTCCACAGGCCTCTGAATGCAAATGCCAAATACTTCGTCATGCCTTTCTCTTAGCCTATATCTCACTGCATCCATGGCTTGGAATGAGGCATATAATATAACATCAAACCAGAGACCTGGCACACACAGGGCTACTCACTGGCTTTCCTCATGCATACGGTTTATTTTTACCTGCTAGGTCAATCCTTATAGGGCTTTACCACTAGGTCTGCCTCCTGGGAATCTGCTATTTCAACAGTTCTGGGGAAGGAGCAAAGTAGAGAGGAAGGATACATTTAATCCTTTCTACTCTTTTAAAGTTAAAGGTATCACCTTCCCATCATTAATTAAACAGATTGCTCAGACATGACCTTGCAGCAGTGAGGCCTGTAAGCTTTGAACTGTGGCACATAACAGACTTCTGATTATTCCTGGTCAAATGTCCTGCATGACAACCTTATTTAAGGCCAATGTTCTTTCATCAATGTCTTTCACCAGGCGCTGTGTTCCTCTGCAAGCATAGATATGGATAGTATTTTTCCCAAAGGTGACAATAAAGGAGAAGACACAAAAGGCAACAGGGAACCCTGAGATTGCAGAGGGTCGTGCTGACTTTGGCATTTTCTTCATAGCATCTGATTTATGGTTTACCATTTGTGATGTAGGAAGCAATTTTTAAAAATCCAGCAAAACAATGGCTGATTTGCGAGACTTCTGGTCTGAACAGAATCCACAACAACATGCATGAGTAGTGCACCCTGTAGCTAGGGAAATCCAAACATGCTTTACAAGCAGTGGGTGAGTTGTAGGTTGGGGAAGGGATGCATTCCTGAATATTACTTTTCTGAGGAAGATGGGGACTGCTTTAGTAGTGGAATTGCTGTGCACCTTCGGGAATACATACGGACATACATGGTACGTCAACATTGCCAGGAAGGACAGGCAAACCTTTTGATTGTTCGCTTGCATGTAGTTCTCCAGTTATTATAAAGCATACATAAAAGAAAGATCCATAGATCAATGGAAAGATCACAAGAGCAATGTTTAAGCCAGCAAGATAAGTCCTGACGTGACCACTGCTGTAAACAGCGCTCTTTAGCGCTGACTTCTCTCTAGGGCTAACTGGATGTACATGTGGGGAGGGACATGTCACACCTTACTGCTAGCCAGGGAACGACATACACACAGGGAAGAAGCCCAGTTTCTTTTCCAGCTCCCTTGCTGGACTGAGATGTCCAGGATGAGTTTGATACAACTTTCTAGGAACAGAAGAAGTCAGCAAGAATTTTAAGACAAAGTATTTGGATAATTCTTCTCAGGAGCTGGACAACAATAGCCTCTGCAGAATCAGGATGCTATCCTTTTTAACCAGATCACATTAGGTAATAGCAGCTTTCCAGTGTCAGAGTTCCACCTCAACCGCTCCTTCTTCCCTACTTTACCCTGAATGACTCAGGAGCTAATGTATCTTATCTTCTCTCTTTAAAAGGCCACATAGTATCCTTCCATAGTGCTGACAATATCGCTGTTACTCTCCAGCAGTTCCAAGACACGGTGCATCACCACTTCAGCCACATAGGGGTTGTAGCTCTGCCGAACGCAGCTCAAGACATGAAGGAAGTGGCAGCCTTTTTCAGCATCTGCAGAAACAAAGGAAAATGCATGGAAGCATTGGCGGAAAGACCTCAGTCTCTAACTGCCCCCTATTAAGCATTATGATCCAGATTAGTCATGAACAAACTACAGCTGTCAGATGACGAATACCTAGGTAGCAAGGCAGAATACCTAGGTACTAAAGTAGAGACGCATGTATTCAGAGGGAAGAGATCCACTCTGCATTCACAGTTCTCCAACTACTGAATGCTCCCCACTGACCTTGCTAAGAAGTGCCAAGGTTGTAACGCTAGCCATGAGTGTAAGCAACTGCCAGTCTTGCAAACTCCAGTATGCAGGGCTCATACTGTACAGCCTGATGATAAGGATAATGACTTAAGGGTACCCCCACTGTCCCATTACGCAAACTGTCCAGTTGCTGCAACTGCAGTTCATTCAGAACAGAAGAAAACATGTGAAAATCCTTTTGCCTTTATCCAACTTAAAAAATGTCTACAGTAGAAGGGAGGCCCAGGGCCAGACGTGACTGCTTGCCCAATGCTGGCATCTAGCGGCAAAACTGTTACAGTGCAACTTTCATTCACTCAGCAATGCAATCCCGTCCCTGCCCTGCAGACTCCTCAGGCAATTATGGAGCAGAAGGTCACAGACCTTCAGTATTAAATTTTATCTCCTTTTAAGAGGAATGAACCCTGAAAATATACAAGAGAACAAAAATGTAAAAATAATCCCCTTTCCTAGAGGGCAAGCCAGAGACAGAGGTCATTAAAGGCTGCACTACCGCACGCGGCTGCTTTATCCTCCTCTTTGTTCGGGTGACTGCCTGGTGGAGCCATTAGCTGAAGCTTAACTGGCCCTGTCAACGTTTTCCCCAACAGCTCCTGCGAACCCACTCATTGCCAGTGCTGCAGGCTCCCAGCCTCCTCCACGTGCTGAACTCTACAACAGAGATTTCTCTCTCCTCCGTGCCTAGCAATGGGAAACTAGCATGAGACACGTTAGCACAAATGACTTTCTTCCTCCTCAACTCAGATGATACAAGGGAAGTTTGATAAGGGTACTGAGAAATCTGCATGAAGGTCTGGGGCCAGGGAGGTCTGCATCCTTTGTTGTTGCCCCTTTTGTTTCATTTTAGCAAAATCCTGCACCCCAAAACAGCTGTAGAAGCTTCTGGGAAAGTCATTGGTAGAAAGGCGGGGGCGCTAAGAGCTGTCAAATACACAGTTCAGGAGGAATGAGGCTGTGATTCAGGCAAAGAATTTCTTTTCTGTATTTCTTTTGATAAGATAGTCCGCGGTATAGTGTAATGGAAGACCTTAGGGGCTGGTAGCCAAACATGGACCCATCATCCTAGAACAGATAAGTGCAGAGAACAGAACACTGTGGCTATCTGGTCTTAGCGACTGTTGTTGCAAACAAAGTGGGTAGCTGCATTTTGCCTTAGTCACAAGAAGGTCAGAGTACCCATCCCTGATTTACAGTAACTTAGCTTAAGTCATGAGGAATTAAATCACAGTGACTCAAGTGTTACCCAACAGCAGAATATATAGCCTCTTCCCAGGTGTTGGTAGAAAATGGCATTTTGGGGTAGCTGCAGATATCTGGGTGTGTACAATCACTAAGTAGCCCAGAAACATTCCTAGGCTACTCCTAGAAACAATTGACTTCAAGGGAACATACTCCTTGCAGTGGGAGATATTAAAATGATGCCGTCCTAAAAACTTCCTTCTTTTTTGACATACAGGGATTTAGCTTTTGTCCATCTCCTGAGGTAAGTTAGGCTCTGATTAATTGTCTTGCCTCACTACCAACATCAGGTGAGACAGTTATACAGTCATGGGCACCTGCCACAAAGATATGCTTTGGACATGTTAAATGTAACTTTAAGTGGCTCTGTCTTATCATCTCTGCTATTAGCCTCATCTGAGCCTAGAAACAGAGCCGATATGACAAGAAAAGAAACAAGTTTGGATGAAGTCTACCATTTTGCAGTTCAGTCTGGAAACAAACAGTGTTGTCATCCCCTTCCAGCTGTCTTAAGCCTCTAGATAGACCCAGAATGGCTTCTCATAAGGGCATTTAAGATCAGGTTATTTAGAAATACAATTAGAACCATGGACTAGAATTGTCACGTAGGCATATGACAGATCAGGTTTTGTAGAGCTTTGAGTAGTCATGTTGAAAATTTATTTTTCATTTGCACAATAATTCCAGGCAGCCGGGTTGGGCCTGAGAACGTGTCACAGTTGAAGTAATGGGGTGAGGCATTGCCTTGAAAACTGGCAGAGAAGTAACTAACTGATCAAAGAGTTTGGTTTTATCATAAATCAGTCTTCCTGTCATGGAAGATTAATACTGCTCTTGATGGAAACTGGACAAGAGTTAATTGCAAGAAACAAGCAAAAGCTCTTGGTGTTTTAGCATGCTCACATTTTCTCACTAAGAGCCTGCTCACTAGCCAAGGCCAAGCAGCTGGTTAATATTGGCATCTGACCACCAGAGGGGGTTCAACAGTTAGACTAGAGCTCTGCTCTGGCATTCAGTGATGATAAAACGTCCTGTTGATTTTGATTGAAGTTTTGGGGGTTTCTTCCTCCCTCTTTTTTTTTTTTTTTTTTTTTTTTTTGAGAAAGTACACACTGGTTATTTCTGATTTGATCTTTCACCAAATTTCAACCTTTCCAGCCAATGACATCAAAATCTTCTATTATCAGTGACCAAAACAATAGAACAGTCTTTCTGAAAGCCAGCAGAGAGACTAACCTGGAAACTGTGCTCTTTACAGCTAGTAACTGCACATAGATGGAAAGCTGCACAGAGAACAAGGGGCTCTGTAAAGCAGTCGCTTTTCTTTCCCTGTTCAATAGGAGAAGTATGGCTTTGAGGACTCGGGACTCTGCAAAGTCATTTCTGTGACTCTTTCAGTTCTCAATTTTTCTTTGCCTTAACTCAAAAAAAGTAGGAAGTAGAAGTATGGATAAAAAACTTCTCAACATCTCATGAAGCCCTAAGAAGACTTCAGCAGGGTGGTAATGCACAGGAGGGGAGTGAAACGCGAGGTAGTTGCTCAGTGCTCTGTGTCAACCATGCAGAGATTCTGGTCATTAGCAGGACACATCACCTGTGCTCAGTAGCTTATCTGCTCTCCCCTACTCCCTCAAAATACTTTTTACCTCTGCTCCCAAACCTTGTCTACAGTAGCATCACTGCTGACGGTAGCTAACTGCAAAATCAAAGTATTACCACTTCACTTACCCTTTTTTCACCGCAGGATGACCATCATATTTGGGGTCCTACTAGCATTATTGTTAACTATGACAGTATAAGGATATAAGTAGATTTAAGATTCTATACCTTGTATTCTAGGCAGTCATTTATTCTGTGCATCTATAGTGCATCCTAGCCCATAAATACCTGCATTCTAGCAGCAAGCAAGTGATCCCCGCTGTCACGTTCTGCCCCGTCAGTTGAAAAAAAACCTCTGTAGCACTGTACAGGTGTAATTAGTAGACATCTAAGTCAAGCACAACCTATCACTATGGCAATAAAACACAAAACACATGAGGAACAGGGATAATTTGGAAGCCATATAAGGTATATGTCTTTATGAAAGACTGAAAACACCTACTTGCACAGAACAACTACCTAAGCTCTATGCTCAGTTAAAACCTGAGCATATCCTAGTGACAAAAATAAATTTCATTGTTGACTTAATGGACACAAGGATTTCACCTTTCTACACTGTCACTTTTGCGACAGCTCCCCTGTAGAAACTGAGCTAGCAAGGTTTGCTATTTATCCGCAGAACAAAGCAACAGCTGCCAGGTGCTGATCTACACTTCACTACATTCGGTTCCTCCCAAAATCTAAGTATTCCCAGAAGATGTAAATCCAAGATAACGGCTGCTCATTTCAGATCTGAGACATTTGTTTCCTGTTGGGCATGCCTCCTACCTCTCTTCTCATGCTCACAGGAAGATGCTCCTGCATTTCTGCTTTCAGCTACACCGATTAACTATACCAGCCACTTAGCTCTGAGCTCAGGGTAAAGGATAAGAATTGTATCTAATCCAGCAGCAGGAGGAGATATTGTCATGAATGTCAGCATCAGCTCATCAGGGACCTGATCACACTTACGCCTGGGTTTTCGACAGTCTTCCTTAATGATATCAAGGGTCACTTTAAGCAGCTCCTTATCATGGTCAGTTACCTGGAAGAAACAAAAGAAACTGGCAGTTTACAGCAGTCTGTTTCACAGCAGATGGAAGGACCGTTAAAAAGGAATCCAAAGCCTTGGCGTCTTCTAAACTAACACTGTCATAACTACAGTCTGCATGCTTTGCTGCCTCCAAGATTAATCATGAATGTTAAATCTTCAGTTATTTTGTTAGTACCTTTAGTAGCATTCATGAGTTAGGTGAATAACACGATATATAAGAATCAATCCCAGAGGAGGGTGACTGACTCCACAGAACACTAAGTTTCAACCTATCCCTGATAAAGAGACCTGTCCCAGGTCTCAGACTTCAGCGCACCCTGCCACGTAACACAGGCTGCGCCTGGAAGAGCTGCAGTAATGAAGACTGGTGCTGAGTTACACAAAAAACAACTCAGTGGATGATGCAGAGGTAAAAGTGAAGAAAGCAGCGCATAAGCCTTCTGAATAAAGACTGCATTTGGAGGTCCAGCTTCCCCTTTTGAAACATTTCTACTGTTTCTAAGACTATGAAATACAGTCATGCCACAGAACAGGCTTGCAATCACAGCTCAGTTCCTTACATGGTACAAGTCCTTAGAGCTACTGGGCTTCTGGAAAACCATTCCTTTTTCTTGTAGCATCCTCACTGCTTCCTTAAAAACAGTGTGAATCTGTTTGGAGCTTGGGTCACTTTTTGAATCCACCTGCACAGAGGAAAAAGGAATGAATTAGGTGGTGAGAACTCTCAGCACTTCTAGAGTCAACAGCAAAAGCTCCAGCTGGTTTCAAGAGGGAGAGGGATTCAGGTGATGTTAAACAATTAGGTGATGTTAAAATATTTTTCTTCATTTAATAATTCACAAATCATATCTGTTGTATATAAACTAACCAACATCTCAGGCTTTAAAGAAACACCAGAAGCTTGTTGTTCCTTAACAATAGCACGATCCTAACTGCCTTCTTTGTATAGAGTAGCTACTTGATTAAGTATTGAGAACTCTCTTCTTTGGGAATAGGCTTGTATAGGTGAAATGGGAGGAAGATAGGAAGATCAGTGCTTTGTAAGATGGCATTCAAGAGGAAAGAGGAATTCAAGCACTGGGGACTGGATCCCAATCTCTTGATTTGAAACTGAGGCACTGTTCAAGGAACTGGTAAGAACATTTTGGGTAAGAACAATACTTATTTTCTGTCTCCCATTTTATTCACATTCTGGTCATGCGCTCCAGAATTTCTCCATAGTGGAAAGGAAAAGCTAAAGGATATAGAAGACAGGTATACAAGAAGATCCTTGGGAGAAGATAACAACAAAACAGAGGAATAAGCTTTGAGGGCAGGTGGGAAGCAAGAGCCTCTTGTGGAAGAACAGCGCATCTGAAAGCCCAGAACAAAGAAGGGGATTTGAAACAGAGGGTCCTGTGTTTGGGACACTGCTAACAGAGTAAGAAGGAAGCAAAAAAACCAAAACCAAAAAAAAAAATCAGGGAAAAACTAGATTTTTTTGAAAGTAGAGCAGAGCTAAGGTGGAATGACAGCTAGTGAAGTAAAAGGAAATAAAGGCTCAGCTGTGGAGAGGAGAACATATAGGTAGATAAGAGCAAGACCATGATCTGCTCTTTAAAAATCTCTCTGTATCCTATGTCCTTCAATCTCCCATTTATCTATGCAGACTGCTTCAGTTCCCCAGTTGTTGCTTTCTCATCTATTGAGAGCACATTGTGCTCACTGTGGTTTTGAGAACAAAGCTAAACTCCTTCCCAGAAACCAATGCATGATGGATTGAACCAGACCACATCAGAGCAACCAAAGCAAGATTTGCCATACCATTTTTTCAGACACTACTATAAATGCTCCTGTCTTGTCCTGAACAAAACTATCAGACTTCACAGATCCTGCTTCACTCACTAAATGCACTCACGGGAACCTTGGGAGTGAAACAGGTAAACACCATGCACTAGAATGAATTCACACAGATACTTAATAACACACAGACACCAAGTTAGCGATGGAACAACTTTTTGCGGAACATCAATTCCATCCATTCATAACTCTCTAGTAAAACTCAGACTACTTCCAAGCCTGGGAACTGAAGTACCTAACCAGGAACAGTTAAAATCAGAGATTCAAAGTAAAACTCGGACTACTTCCAAGCCTGGGAACTGAAGTACCTAACCAGGAACAGTTAAAATCAGAGATTCAATAGGGATATTAGCTTTAGCATAACTCACACTTTTCTCCATCCCTTTCCTCCAGCTAATCCTGAGTGTTCCAACAGGGTACAGTCATGTCTCTCTCTCTCTCTGTGTCCCACAACAGCTAACTGGCTTTTTCCTCTCAAATTGTCAGTCAAAATAATTGCCTAATATTTTAAGCTAATTAACACAGAACAATGGCTATTATTCTCAGTCTTCATTTATCCTGAAGTTTCTTCCTGTTCCAGACTGAAGAAGGATAGACAGAAGTTTGCCTGCCCCACTATCCACCACAACTATGTCAGTTTGGATAATGGAGATTACTTTTAACCTTACATCCTGACACCATTCCAGTCATAGTGTTATTACCACTACCATACTTCTCTCCTTAGTGCCTCTTCTGGCAAACTTCAGAAACAAACATGAAATGTAGCTGGAAGGGTTTTGTAAATGAGAAGTACGGATGTTGGCTCTCATGGAAAAGCATATTCTTCTAGCCATACCAAAATGCATAGACTCTGCCCTCATCTCAAATGCAGGAATAAATTTTCAAGAATCTAAGAAACTGCCAGCAAAGCAGCCACCTCAAGACCGATCAATTTTTAATGTGAAAGCAAACATTCAGGGGGAGAAAAAGATAAAAATATCTCCAAAAAAAGCACAATAATTACTCATTTTGGTTTAACACTGAGATCCCATCAGTAAAGGGAAATAATTAAAAACAGACTCCGTGTGAACTGACACATAGCTCAGCCCGGATGGATACTGAAACAGAATCACTAAGAACATACGTCAAGAGATTGACAGAGAGAAGGCAGAAAGGCAGGCTTGGGTGCAAGAAAATAAGTAGGCAGCTGCCACATATCAGCACCCTCCCATACACGCTGCAGAGTCCATGCGAAGAGGCTGCACAGCAGAAGGACCGTTCCCAAAGAACAGATGAGGGCTCCTGCCCTCTTCAGGGGCTTTGGTTTTATCCTGCAGTGACGGGAAAAGTTATTCTTTCTGAGGATGCTCTAGAACATGCTGTCTCCTCTCCATCCCTCTGGGCAGAGCAACAGTTTAGGAGTTCCTTTGCAAACACGTTCTAAAATTATTTAATGGGTTCTTTTGGTGTACCTAAAATATCCCCAGCCTCTTATCCCACAACTCCCCCCAAACTTCTCTGTTTCCTAAAAATCAGTAGTATTCCTCCCAAATACTTTATCGCTTGCTCTTATTCTGATTTCTTCTGGACTTGAAACACCCCCTTAGAGCCTCTATACACTGATGCTTGTGAGCTTGTCTATCAAGCAGAGATCTAGAAGAGACTGGACAAGCTCAAGTAGAGAAAACCATTAAAGACTATTAAAAACACATACTATTTCTGGCCTAAAGTCCATGGTGACTACTGTACTGATGAGGCTATGCAAAAGCAGAAAGAAGGAATCTGGGACCATGAACTCATATGTGATTTCACATCCCTGCTTTTATTCCAGGAGGAGAATGAAAAATGCTCGCATTTCAGGATTTATAAAGATGTGTCATAGCTGCAGATGCAGGTAATTCTGAGTCACAGTTTATTAAGCATTATTTCACTTTTACAAAGCTTTTTGTCTGAGAAATTTAAAACATTTGCAAGCAATTTAACTGCTGATCCAAAGCACTAGCAAGAGCATTGATTCCCTTGAATTTTGGATTTACCCATCACAATTTTCACATCTTTGTTTTCAAAGTGCCTCCCTTATGAAGTTGTACATCCAAACACAGGAGCACCCTTAAATTATTCATCATTTTTGTATAAAGTGTTTTTTCCCCAAAGAAATAGAAGTAGCTTTTAAATATAGGTTTTACCACCACCACCCTCCCACCTATGGCCAACCATGGTCTTTCTAGCAAAGCCACAAGAAAAATCCATGTCTTCAGAATTAAGTTGGCATTTTAATCACTGTCTTCCAGATGACGGGCTTCACACTGCTTAGTGGGCTCGTACCACACACCCAGTTATTCTCAGGTCTTTAAAACAAGACAAACTCCCTGCACAATAAATAATAGGTCAAAGAATGAAGTGATACAGGAACTAGTCTCTCCATTCAAAATGCTGAAAGTATGTAACCTTTGGCTCATTATGAATCACACCTACATGGTGTTAAAGTTTCCTGGTGTAACCACACACGTGGTACTACTCAAAGAAGTTGCCCTTTGCAATTTCTCCTACAATATTTAAGCCTTGGCTTAGAAAGGTGACAAGTTTAGTAACAGTGATTCTGGACATGTCAGTCCTGAAGCCCTATTACAAGTTTTGCAATATATATTTATATATATTTTTATATGGATATGTGTAAGGCAGTGGTAGAGCTTGTTCAAGAGGCAGGAAGACAAGCATGTAGTGTCAGTAATATATAATGAAGGACACTGTTATACCTACAAGATAACGTACAGGCCCACAGTAAGTATGAATGACACTGTAAAACTCCCTGCTTTAACTATGTGTCATTGTTGACCTTGAGATAATATTCAAATCAAGAGAAGTACAAACAGCAGAGTCAGGAAAGCATAATCCAAATCATGTGTCCAAGCTAGTAACACACACAAACTGGGATGGTGTTACTAGAACAGCACACACTGTAGTTTCAGCATGAAGGAAGTGCATAAAAACATTCCATCAAGGCTGCCTGGTTGCAAGTCATATTTATTCCAGTTTGGAAACTGGATAGATCAAGTTCATACGTAGTTTTCTTTAAAAAGGAACCAGAGGCTGGTCCATCTGCCAGACATAATTGTCTAAGTCCAGCAAGTAAACTTTTTAAGTTCACTAAGCACAAAATGACGTTTCCTTGATTTCTTGCTTGCAGCCTTCCTTGCAGTACCGATTGCTCCAATCTCAAAAGCCATTTATTTATGCGATAAGGGAAAGGCTTGGGGATAGAGGGAACACCAATTATGTCAAATAACACTGCACTAGTTTTAAAAGTCCTAAAATAAAAATAATAATATTTGAAAAAAATTGTTTAATAAAATAAAACTTTTCCTTCTTCCTCTGTAGACTATAAAATTAAAAGTTCCCTGGATATGTCTGAGCAGAGGACATGATGAGAGCTCTGCCACATACATCTGCTAGAGAGATTTATTCCAGAGGGCCAGATGCCTACGCTACTGGGGAGCCTTTAGGACTGGAATTAGGTACTGTGCCACTAGGACAGGAACGGAAGATGGCAGGGCTCAGGCGCAGTAATGCTGAAAAGACAGACAGAGGTGCTGCCTACCTCAAACTATCTCAGCTATCTCCTTGCATCTTCACCCCCTGCTTCGCTCTGCTGCCAGTGACTCCATAGCAGCTCCTTTCCATGGAGGAAATATTCCACTGGGAGATATCCTCCCACTGTTAGGAACACTGTGCAAGTACTTTAAAAGTTGGGAAAGAGATGAAGGGGGTGCACCACATCTCCTAGGATCACAGGGAAAGGAAAAGAGGAGCAAGAAAAGCATTTAACAGCAGCTATACTGGAGCACTGGAATCAGAAAAAAATAGATCAATTAAACATCGAGATAACCCTGCCTTTCACATCCAGGAAAAGTGCAAGGAGTGAATGAGTGTGCATATTTTGATGTGGTTTATGGTTTACAGTTTGGTCCACTCATTTGGCTCCTGCCGTGCCACACTGGCATAAAATACTGCCATTCTATACTACCTGCACTGTTTATAAGTTTGGTTTGAAGGGGGTGCAAATCAGAAGATTACAGAGGGGAAAAGAAAGGAAGAGGGAGAGAAACCAGGTCTATCACACTTATTCTGGTGGCCCAAACTGGGTACTTGACCCTTTGCCAAGACAGAGCAGTGAAACAATGAGATGCACTTCCAGCGCATTACTAGGAGCTCACCTTAAGGCACTCGGGTCATGTGACAACTGCAGGTTCTTTCTTATGCAAAGAGATAAAAGTCACTTTGCAAAGAATTAATACCAAAGGGTAATATGGAAAACTGCAGTTTCTTAATAAGCACCTGAGTGCCCAAATTCCTGGGACATATACTCACACCTTTGCATCAGGGTCAAGAGCAATAGCTAGTAAATATTATGGTAGCTCCTCAAGACTGCTAACAATGATGATGCTACCTTGTTTTTGTTGGGATTTTGTGTTTTTCTGCTTGTTCTTCACCAGTTCCTATTTTAAATGACTTTGCAAGTCATTCTTAATGATCTTTCTATAAACGCTGAAACTTCAGAGATGGAAGTTTCCTGTATTAGTCACAACGACCACTACTTCCCTTAATGTAAAGTGTTTATGGACTTTTAATACTGTTCTAGCTGCTTTAGAAAATTCTCTGTCCCATGTTTGATATTCTAATACCAAACTTTTCTGTCACAAACCAGAGTACCTCCTGTCCTTGCTTATATCCATGATTTCTTTAAAGCAAACAACAAAAATGCCTTTAATGAAAATAAAAGAAACAGCAATCAGGAAGCAGCAAGAATAGAGCTACTTTTCATTATTATCTTAATTCAGTTACAGGGGACTTTCTAATTTTTTTTTTTGTTTGTTTTTTTTAAGAATTCAGCAGACATCTGACATTAACGTAATACGGCACATTTAACTTCACAATGCATAGCAGAGCCAGGCAGTGAAAATGACTGCTACGGTTTTATTTCTCTACAGAAAATCCCCAAAAGTAAACAAGTGAGTCATACTTATAAGACTCTGGTTTAATAGCTTGAGTTGCCATTGGTAACATGGTTAAAGCTGTAACTCTGTTACTTTTGCAGAAATTTACCATTTCGCAACAGCTGAGAATCTGGCTTGTGATTTATCAAAATAACACAGAGTAATATAAAAACATGGTACAAAATAGCCTTTGTTCTATTTCCCATTCTGAAGTTAGTCAAGATAACGCTATCTTATTGGAAAGCTTCTTATTTCTGAGTGGTTTGTTTACATGCAGTTCTGATGTAAATTAAATTCCACCTTCTGTTCCTTGCAATCATGGCCTTTCACAGCTAGGGATGTCCAACACGAGAAACGTTTAACACAGTGCAGTTGTTCATCCACTTGCTATAACTTCCATTCTAAAGTCGCATCTATATTAACATACTGAGCTTCAAATGAGAAATAAGACAGGGCGTCACTACACCCTTCTCTTGGTCACATGCAGAATCTTGAACATCTGCTCCAACCAACTCAAGTGTCTTAAAGGGTCCTCCTTTTCTGATACTTGCCACTGCTCATAGAACTAGACAGTTGGCACCTGTTGCAGGCTCTGTAAGGTTACTCAGCCCTAATACAAGACTACCCTCAACAATAGTTTTCTCATGCCTTTCTTCAGCCCAGTTTTAAATGTCTCAAGTGATAAGGTTTCATAAGTCCTGTAAAAAATAAGCACCAGTCTCTTATCAGGTCATCTATGCTATAAAAAGTACAAGGCAATATTTTCTCAGCTAAAAACTTGAAATAGTTACATTCACTCACCTCCTGACTGCTGGGACTGGGTAGAGGCTGACGGGCCAGCGACACCAGAGTATCAATTGTTTCCAGCTCCTGTTGGTAGAAGGTCTGAATTCTGTTTTGTAGCAAGAAGCCTTTCACTTTCTCACACAGCATATTCGAGAAATCCATACACCCTGGGCCACTACAAGGATACACGGAACACGTCAAAAAGTAATACGCTACCAACATTTTTTAGAACAACTGCCTGAATGTAACCTGGTTTTCAAATGCCAAAAGGCATTTTACTGTCCTTGAAGAATCTTACACTAAACCCTTAATTAAAACAGACAATTTTTATGTGCATTGAACATTCAGCTGTTCCTCTTCAGTCCTTTTGTGTAACATTATTGGGATTTAAGATCTGCTGTCTCTGAAGCCACACTGCATGCCAATAAACATCCAGGTACCCTTAAACGGAATACTGAAGCTGGTGCCTGACTTAGTTTATTGAGGTTATGCCTTCATGATTGGAAGATGACAAGGACTGCAGAGTCAAGAGCATTTTGACAGAATAGCTCCCTATCTTTACACATAAAAGAAAATCAAGCAAGGCCACTCCACCATCTAATTTGTTGATCACATCCCCAAACCCCAACTTACTGCACTAGATATAAGAGGTCTGCACATGGTATTTTGCTACCTTCTTATTACTCACTTTGCTTGGAGTGTTGTACTTCTTTTCTCAAATTATGGGCGGGTACTCCATGTATGGATCATAATAGAGCATTGGAACAGGTTGCCCAGAGAGGCTGTGGAGTCTCCATCCTTGGAGATACTCAAAAGCCATCTGGATAGGGTGCTGGACAACATGCTGTAGACAACCCTGCTCGAGTAGCGGTGGGTGGACTACATGATCTCTAGAGGTCCCTTCCAATCTCAACCATTCTGTGATTCTGTGATTAATTCTTTCGGAGAAAAGCAGGCTGCTACTTTTGTTTGTGCTCAGTCTAAATCAGTGGGACTCTGTTCTACCTTTCCCCGCAGTTATTACAATAACAAATAATAATAAAATCCCATACTTTGCTCCGAGACCAGTCTGGATAACATGTTTACCTCTGTGCCCCGTCTGGGCCTCGGAAAGGTTTATCGTAAACTTCTCTATAGAGACAGGGGAGCTCCAGCATTCTTGAAATCTGAACATCACACACAGGATCATCCACTTTATCTGGAGCGGTGAAAAGAACATACAGATTGGCCAGGGTTGCCATACCAGTCTTTTAAGCAAGTATACCTGAGGCAGTACGGAAGAGTTTCACATGTCAGTACTATAATGGCATATTTTGTTCTCTGTTGCTTTTATAAAATCAAAATCCACAAAGGCTACTCCCACTTTCACAGCTTACAAGGAGGCAAATGACTGCTGTAATGCATTGAAGACTACGTTTTTGTCTGACAACTTATTTAACTGCAATTTATGATTTCTATTTACCTTTCAGCAGCCTTGATACATTAGACGAAGTAAGAAAATGGTAAGGAGCTTTATTTGGACCAATGTGAAAGCAATTTAGAGGCCATTTGAACTGAATGGCTCTCCTTCAGTGAAACAATAGTATTATTATCAGCCTTTGAATGGGTTATATATTTATAAAGCTCCTATTTGGAGAGAAGGGTTGAATTCCCTCTCAGATTTTAGCTAGTGATGAAAAAGCTACAAACTTTTTGCCTGATCTAGGCAAGGTTTTTAAACGAGGTTTTTTTCCTTCACACCAAAGGAATCATTTCAATATTGTCCCTGAAAGATTTAATAGAGAAAAATCAACTTTTACACAGTAACACATTAAGGAGAAAAGTGGTTCTGTAACTGGGAAGTTCCTAGGATATATATAACTGACTGCAGAGAACTGCTGTCCAAACAGCTCTCAGATAGAGGGTCAACACCTAGAGAACCATGCCCGAGTGACTTAAGGTGAGGAACTCTTCTCAGTCATTCTGCAGAGCCAAAGAGTTCAGGAGAACTTGGCCTTCATGGTATAACGTCATCATAAATTGCTGTCTGCCCATAAAAAGGATTACAGAGGCTGTTACAAACGTTAACTGTTTCTCCAAAGCAACTAACACTCTTGATGAAACGTGACATAAAAGATCACCAATTCCTCTCCCAGGGATTTTGGCTGTTCTACTTCAACACACAGAAAATTGAAGCGCAAGTCACTGTGCCAGGTACCCAGTCCCGGTATCCAGATAACTAGAATGAATACAACAATGCTATCTTTTACAAGTTTTTCAAGAAAGCCTCATTCACAGGCAGTCTAATCCCACACATTAAATAACGTTTGCCAGCCTTACACTGCTAGGATGAAAATGAAAGAATACCGATCAAAGTCTCATTGGAAAAATGACATGCCAGAAAATAAAGTGGTAATTGTTCAATGAATTACATACTGTTTGGGTCTTCTTATAAATTCAGACAAACAAGTTGCATATATCACAGGTTCATAACACTCACAAAAAGATGAGGCCTGAATTTCTCTCTGCTGTCTGTAGGTTCGGATGTGACCTCTGACCCTGATAACATCCCCAATCTGCAGCTTGGTTTTCTGGCTCACCATTTCCTGGAGTTTCTTCATCTGTTCAAGCACATTAAGACTGCTAGGTGTACTTGGACAAGCTGCAAAAAAGTGGGGGAAAGGAGATGAGGCATTACAGTCAAAAGGTCTGTACCCCTGCATTTTTCCAAAAGCTTAAGCGGCAGTCATATTGCTAAAAATGGTTGAAGTCTCAGGCTCCACACATCCTGGGCAGCAAAACTTCTGAGTATCTATTTTAGTTTACAGTATTACATTTACTTAAATAGTTCACCTAGAAAAGGAGGAAAAGAGAGAAAATGCCAATTCATCATTCTGAAAGCGCCCTAAACGGGTTGAAAACTGGAACATTTTAACTGCAAATGGGAAAAACTCATGTTGTCATGCTAAAAGGAAGGAGAGGGAGGGAAAAAACGTCAGCTGAACTTTTTGCATAAAAGAAAGATGAATCATTTGAGGTGGGGCCAGGGTATTCACGTGGTGCAATTTGGTGTCTATATTGATATAAGCACAGCTTGACAGAACTCCACATTTACGTAACATACCTTTGCAGGAGAGTAAATTCTTTGTAATTTGAAACCTGACTAGTGATCCAAGCATCTCTGAGCATGATTATAAGCTGGAAGAAAATTTGCCTTTACCCTCTGGGACTTGCTTTCTTTAGCAGATACAAATGAAATAATTTTCATGAATAAAATACATCCATTTGGGCGCTACTGATGTGCGTGTAACTTAAGAACACAAGCCAGAAAGAAGCATTCTGGGTTCTCATTCTCTATCTATGCAATTCGTTTTGTGATTTTAAGTGACTTTTTGCCAACTGATTTGCTTGTGGGCCCTCATAACTTCTTTGGAAAGCTGTACCACAACATCAGCTCTCTGAAAGCAAGACCTATCTTCTAGATTCCAGTTACAGAGGAATTGTTTGTACCACTTGTCATATCATTGTTGTTCTTAGGCTTAATGAGAGAAACTACAAGGTGACCAGGGAGCTTGTCTTTCTTCTATATCTAGCATGGTGGGCTTAATGTCTTATACACAGTTGAGAGAGAAGATTAACCTTAAAAGAGCTACTTAGAGCAATATGCGTGTTATAAGCTTTGTTAAATGCAAGTAGGTTTGTGTGTATAAATGGGCCTGTTCTACAGCCATCAGAGCATTTACCTTTCACATCAAGTTCCCCCTCCCACCCCATCCTTTGCATATGTAATCCTAATACAGGCAGATGACACAAGTAACACCTCTTTTGGTAGGGTTTGATAATCTCCATATTGGGGTTCCCAATATACTAGATGGGTTTTCAAGCAGATCCAAAGTAGAAATTATACTATACATTGATCTATGACAATTGCTGAGGGAAAAGCAAGGAGAAAGACACTAGTGAGATGTTTTGTTATTCAGGGTAAGAAGTGATTTACTTCATATGTGCAATTTTTGCATGTTTAGAACAGTCCAAATCATATAAAAGACTGCTGACATTCCCATTGCGTTTAAGCTACTTTCAGGTCATCACTGACAACATACGCACGAGCAGAAGGGGAATATAAATGCAAACAAAGCACAGAAGAGGCATCCTGAAACCACTGTATTGCAAGGGTGAGGAATGAGACGAGGTTGCTGGTCAATGCATTGATTTCGGAAGCAGCAGCTGTGGTATGCGGTGAATTTCCAGAGTAGTTCTTCACTAGATGAAATCACAAAAAGGACCGTAAGAAGAAGATTCTGTGAACAATTTCACAGCATGGAATTGAAATATTATGTTACCCAGTAAGGAAAGGCATGACAGGTCATAACGTGGTGCTTTTATTGGCACCACCATTGGCAACAGCACAAAGAAAGTAACACGAGGCTCCCAAAATGGCCCAAGCTGTAGGCTGCAATGGTATTTAAAAAAAATAAAAACAAAAAACCCCAACCAACCGTGATTTTAATTTGCTCCTCTCTGACTGCACTAAGTTATCTAGATAAGACAGCAACAAAACAAATGTACAATCAAAAGCAGAATTATGTATTTGATAAATTACCTGACAAAGGTCTTTCTGTTCCCATGGGATTTTTCCAGCAGACACAATTTATAACGTCAGTACTATCATCCACTGTAAAAGAATTGCAAGAAGAACAGGGATCAAGAAAGCAGGTAATGAAGTTCAAAGAAATCAAAACAGATAGATATTTACCGAAATGGCTGCCAAAGACATCTCAGTTCATCCAGTTAGAAAGGGAAAGTGGGTGCTCAACTCCTACTTCTGCTTTTGAAATAATTTCCACAGTTGTTTCAATTGCTGAAGTAGCTCAGCACTAGAAATCATGATTGTGTGCTTTAAGTTCACTAAAGTAATAGGCATCTCCTCAACCCCCCCTCCCCAACCAATAATAACAAAAAACAATTCAAGTACCGATTTAAATTATGAGGCTTCAGGACATTCATTCCAAGAAAAGAAAGTATTGGAGACAAAAAGGTTCTAATGTTATTCACAGGATTACAAGAAGAGTCAGTGCTGAAAGCTGTAGGCAGACAAATTAAAATAGGAAACCAGGTACAAAACTGAACAGCCAGGGCAATTTACCATTGGAATGATCTATTAACAATTCCCTGTTTCTCAGCATCTTCAAATTAAGATTATTTAAAACTTGTTGCAGGAAAGTATCTAGAGTACAGAAATCAGAGGGAAAGTGGGACAACAGGAGAGAAAATGAGGTCTACTAACTGGTAAATTTGGCTTTTATTATGCAGGAAGTTTGCTTAAGGAACCCAGTGGCCCATTCTGACCTTAAAAATCTCTTAACATAGTATGACACACATCAAGATAATTATTTCTTCTTCACACAGGAACATTACTCTAACAGTGAAAAAACACCATTAATATTGTGCACAGAGTCTGCTGGCAGTTCCCGTATGAGAGGATGTTCCAGAGAGCAGAAAGGCCGCTCCTCCAGCCAGGAAAGGACAGAGGACAAGATGCTTGTGGCTCTGCCCTAGGCCAGGGATTTCCAACTTAAAGCACGTGTACCACTAGTGGCATGCATGCCACTTCCACCGCTGAAAAATCTCAACACTGTCTCCTGAGCATAGAAGCTGTCTGGCTTTTCCTGTTTTGCTAGTACCCAAGCAAAACAAGTTTTATGTTTTCTGCCATAGGCTCTATACTGTCAAGGACAAAGCAGAAAAAGACAAAAAAAAGCTAAAGAGAAATCAATTGTTCTACGGATCACAAGTCTGTGCATAGGCAGCTTGTCCAACAAACACCCTCTAAATAAAATATTTAGCAAAGAAAAAGGCACTAAAGGCCTATCACAGCGTGACAAGTATGGCATTTCAGGTCCAGCAACCACTCCATCTTGTTTCTTGAATGTAACCATCTGCAATACTGAGCTTCTACAAAGTGGAACTTGCAGTTTTCCTCTGCCCCTTAAACCAGATCCTAGACTACAAAAGTATCAGTGTTTACCATGAAGGTCCTGACTGGTACCTGCCGTTGTTTCCTCTGGGAACCATAGCATCAAAGTAAAAGGCTTTCGCGTTGTCTCACATGTTTTGAAACAATCTCCCTATTCAGGGGATCCAACTTCAAGTCATTGCCTTGCCTTCCTCTTTCCCAGAAGCTTAGCTGCACTACTCTGGAATAGGCACATTCCTAATAACTAAGATACAGCTTTTATAAAACGCATGCAATTCCAAATTCCATCACTAAAAGCATGCTTGCCCCACTGCTGTCCCCCTTTTGAGGTGCTGTGTCTGCAGCTATTTCAGCAGCTTTAATTCTGCACAGGAGCTGCTGCTTTAAAACAAGATAATGATCTACCTAGTAGGATTTCCTCTCTTCAGCAGAGACAAAAAGCAGCTGTTTTAGTAGGAGGAAGAGCCCCCATACATCATGTCAAGATATTAATGCAAGTCAGTCATAGCAATAAGAATCAGGGTAGATGACATTTCACTACTATATTACCGTAGCATCTGGATGTTCCAGCTTGCAAATGCCTCCGTTGCACCGAATGCAACGGATACACTTCATATGAAGGGCTTAGAAACAAAACAAACAAGACTGAAGGATTAGGCCAGGCTCCTCGCTATCAATGTAACAGCAGGAAATGGAGTCCTAGAGAGACTGTCCTATTCTTGACCACATATGGAATCTGATATCAGAGCTGGGCTCTGAAACAGTTCTCTGACTTCCCAAATGAAGGTTTTGAGCAAAAAGGCAAGTAACTGTTGAAGCACAGATGAATGAAAACTCTTGCAATTGTATTCTAATTAGACAAGGGAACGTTAACCTATTTTAAGTGCACTCAAGGGGTCCACAAGCTGTTGAAAACTTCCTGTGCTGCCATGACTCAACTCCTTGGTTTTAAATTTTTTTTTTTTTTCTGGACTTTCACCTTAATTTAAAGCTGTCTCAAAGCTACCTAGTAAATGAGATAATTGGGTTCATTTTTACTACTTTATAACAAAAAGGTAATGTTTCTTATAGGCTCTGTGTGAGTTTACTGAGATCCCCACAAAATTTTTTTTGTTTTTAAGGCTATTTTCTTTATACCCCAAGGGTATTTTGAAATGTTAAAAAAAATCAGATGAAATATCATTTGATTTTGTTAGGAAGAAAAAAAAGTTAGAAAGGTGCCTTGGCTAAAAATATGAGCTGCTCAAAGCTAGGCTTTAATTAAATACTCTTCTCTTAACTGATTATAATAATAGCAATAAACAAATAATAAAATCAAAACTTCACAACCTGGATTATCTAAATTTATTATTTTCTTTTATTCAGGAAGACAGCCAATTCACTCTCTTCTACAGTTACTATTTCCTCACCAATCCTGGCTGTATAGTCTTCTAGCACAGAGAAGACCTAAGATTCCCTTAAAATGAGGTGCATATTCTGAAGCAGATTGATAGGAACGAGGGGAGTAGATAATGGAAGGGACACAAAGATATTTCAGTTCTCTATCAGACAAAAAGCAGAGAGGGGGAATTGCTTTGAAAGTCACTTTTAAGCAGATGGAAGGTGAGCAAATACTGAACAGCGTGTGGCACTAACTGATGCAATGCCTGCTCTGTGACTCACCAACCAGATACTGTTGAACTGAGAGCTGCAAGATGTTGCAAGCAGGAAACCGTCTAAGAAGTTAGAATTTTATGCTGGTGGAGCCAGCCTGCCTGAAAGGGAGGGCAGGCTGGGGAGGAGCACCCTGGCAGGTAGCCTGAAAGCTCAAACCAGGAACTTGGGGAACAAAGAGTGAAGTTGAATGTAAAAGGACAGCAGGAAGCCAGACGCACTGAGAGCTGTACTTAAAGGTTGGCTGATCTAACGCTAAGGCCTTAATTCCACCAGTCTGCAGGTCTTTTTATTTCTGTTCCCCTGTTTCTTATCCCAGTCAAACATTTCCAACAAGTCTACATCTGAACTAATGCCAACACCAGTGTGGGAAACCCTCACCCATAGAATTGTTTTTGTCTCGGTCATTTTGATTCTGTCTTCCTCTGTTCTCATGAAGTGACAAGTACATTTGCATACTAGTGCAATAAAATAATAGCTGATGTTCAATCTATGTTTCAACACTTCATTACATCATCAACTATATTTCTGCCTCTTAACTTAGGTGCTTATTTCGTCTGTGCTGATGTAAATGCTAGAGCATGTAAATATGCTTTAGCATATTAACCATCAACTCATTATTGAGCATAATGGCAGGGCTATAAGGAACATCCAGAAAATAGACTCCAAAAAAAAAAAAATCCAGAAAACATCAACTCTAAAAAACTTGCAGGGACGCTTCTGCAGAGCGTGGGGGCAACTCTAGACAGCACCTAATGCAGGGCATCCTACACACACTAGTATTCCTTGCTACACTGCAGCAGTATGATGCAGCTGCAGACATTGTGGGAGCCGGGACCTGCCTTTAAGTGGTTGACTGTATCTTCAAAACATTCCTGTGCAGCAGGGATTTGCTGCTGCCTCCATCTTGTAAGTGGAGGCAGTGGGAAGAGGCACTCAGTGACTTACCTTCATTAGGTGGAAACCCATGGCAGAGGAAGATATGGGACACAAGTCCTTCAAATGCTTGGATAGGACTTATACGGTTGGTGCCCTCTTCCTATTGCAAGTTAGACACGCTCCTGCTTTGAAACTTGCCACATCACTGCTACTCCAGCCTGCTCTTTCTCTGGATGAAAAAGGCAACTGAACTAAATGATAATCAGATGTTTCCATGTTAATGAAGTATTGGGAGAAAACGAATATTGGGAGAAAGCAACCCTCTTCCCAGCTGGTGTTGGCAAAGACTGGCACTATGGTGGTTGAGTCAAATTTGCTAAGGCACTTATGCATCTAAATAGAAACAAACCCTGCTATTAAAACTCGACTCCAACAAGATATGACAAAATATCCAAAAAGTCAGAAGGGATTCCTACAGCTCAAAAAAGGAAAAAGTGACTTCTGATGGATTTGCAGGCACCATTAAATCCATTTATACACGACCAAAAAAAGTTGCATGTGTGTGAGAGGAAGACAGTGGAGTCCAGTGGCAAAACAATAACCGAAATTAAGACTTGCTAGGATACCTCAAATGAATCAGTTACTCAACTTTAACCATTCGTTTCTCCATCTTTAAAAACAGATAACAGTAGTTTCCTTAATTTTGACAAGTGATCTCAATTGCAGAGGTACATTATATAACAGGATAAGAGCAGAGTTGTTTCCAGAACAAATAGACTGCCAAATAAGGCAGCCTTTAAGTTTTAATGGTACCTAAGATTGGAAGGCTGATAAATGCAAGGACAAAAAGACTTTTCTTACCTCCATAATTATAAAAGGCATCTCGCTCTTTGGTTTGAACCACTATCCCAACAACATCCACCTGTCTTACCGGACGTCCATTATAAAAGAATATACCTAGACACAGAATATAAGAATTAAGTTTAACTACATATTCCTTACAAATATCCTACCCTACATAGTCACGTTTGTCAATAAAAACACACTTTCTAACATATTCAATGTCTTAAAGTTAGTTAGTGCCTGCTCACATGAAAAATCCCCTGAACCTTTGAGGACCGGAAACACTGCGAGAAAGGATAAAAGTATCAGTTCTGCTTCGGATACCAAAGGCTTACTTTTGTAGAGTCTCAGACTTTTATCATCTTTTTATTTTCTTGTGCATTTTGATCTGCAAAATAGGTCATTTGCTGCAGGTTTTAGTTTTATTTTTATTCCAATCATCATCAGGCGTAAGAATAATCAAATACAATGGAAGCAGTTCAGACTTCCCACAATGCAACTGTTTCTGATTAAGGCAGAGCCTCCAAAACGCAAAGTAACACAATTCTATCTTTCATTACTAAAGGAACAGGAGCCATTAGGAAAAACAAAACAAAAAAACCCCCAAACACCTTAGAACGTGCAGCACACTACACCATGGACAGTGTCCTGAACTTCAGTTCCAGAAATAACTCGTTCTAAAAACATCCCTTCAAAGCTATTTTTGTGCTTCTATAAAGATGAGTTGGATAAGAATAACAGATATAAAAATATGTCGAAGTAAGAGCAAGGAATCATAGCCCAGTGGACTTCAATGGTACCGAGGCTGTCACATGCTATAACCTCTTTCAAGAAAGAGAGTGGCAAAAGCCTTTAACAAACACTGATGTAAATATTATATACTGAAGTCTCACCGTTCACTAGCAGGAGGAGAACAGAGCAAGAAATTGCAGCTATATCCTGGGCTGGCTAATCTTAGGTGAACGTATTTCTTCAGTTTTGGAATACTACTGCTTTACTGAAATCTAATGTCATTGGGGATGTTCAGTAGTTAGTTTCTAAAAACTAGATAACTCAAGGGACCCAGAAGAGAACATTTGGCTCAATACACCATCAAGAGAAACACTGCAGCAAAGGAGTCAGTAAAAACTTTCTGTATTAAAAAAAGCCAAAGCTGAAAGCCAAAAATAACTTGTCCTATATAGCCAGCAGCCTTAAACGAGCCTGGAATTAACCTTCTTCACATATGACAGACAAAAAAAGTAAAGCTTCAAAAAATCACAGGTGATTAGCCAGGTGGCTATTATACAGAAATTTTGCTGATAAAAGTCCCCTGCAACGTTTTGAGAATGCATCTAGCGCTCTCATCTTAGAGCCGGCAACACTAATTGTGCAGTCACTGGTCAGGTCTTGCGTTTAGCAGGTTTGTCCACTTTTCTCTCATTCCTTTTACCAGGAGACAACACACACTGCTATAGAAACTCTCAATGGAGATGCTTCCAGTATACATAAACATTCATTAAACCTTTCAAAATCTCTCTAAAAGGACGTCTGAGTCAGTTTCAGGATAAATCTGCAGGGCAGAGCCCTTGTGCTCTTCACTGGCAAACAAGCAACAGGACAATAGCACCACTGAATATGTTATTATGTTCATTTCCTAATTAGTTAACTGAGTTATAATTTTGGCAAACGATGGAGACCAGAGAAAACCGGTTCTCTCCATGCCCTTAAATTTGCACAGAACTCCACCTTTACTCTCCGAGAACCTACCTGCATTCATTTGAAAGATGAAATTAAGTTTACATAGTCTGTTAAAAATTGTTCAGCTAGACAACTTGGAGGTAGAAACAGGGAGCTTTTCTCCCCCCAGATTATCAGTTCAAATTCCATTCATATTGCTAGCAAAAATATACCCAATATTTGAAAGTGTTCAGTGTCAAGCATAAGCACAGTCAGCCAGGCTCCTAGTAAAGCCGTAAATACACGCTAATATGCTGTGACCGCAACAGGAAGACATGGCAGCAGTTTAGTGCAAGTTCCAGTCATATCCTCACCAGCGTTACCAAGCACTGAACTGGTTGCCATTACTTTGCTTTCTATTGCCTCCTTTCACACTCTCTGGAGCTTCCCTTACTCGCTGATAAGCTGTTGCAAAGCAGTGCTGTACGATAACTTTGAGAAAAGCTCACTTCCATAATGTAATTACGTATTACAACAGACTTTGACACCCTCTCCTATGTCAAGGCCTCTAGGAGAACACAATGGCTGTTCTTATCCGGGTGGTTTTCCAGCCTTCTTGATACCATTTAAAGCAGGAGAGAAATTGGCCAGGTTTACTGCTTTCCTCTGTGTTGTTCTAAGGGATTAGTCATTGTTGCATCAAATCCTAATGCTTAAAAAAAAGATGGAAAAAAAGACTTATTAGGTCATTCAGTCCACTTCCTCAGGGCCAGTGCAAGACTTGTTCCATACAGTAAATTCCTGGCAATTTGTACAGCC